AAAGTAATTCTTCTATATGAAAAAGAGAGGTTTCAACCTTAAACAAATCAAGTAACGTCTTGCTGACGTGTTTTCACTTTTAACTTCATCGATTATATCGGTGATCGATCAATTAACGTCTAGTTTGGCGTGTCTAGTCAGTATCAATCCCCAAGTTAGACCTACATAACCTGTTGCCATTAGGTGAAACCGATTGAGACTACGGAGTCGATGAGCAAAAGCTCCGTCACTAGAACGTCATCCTCCACCGTGGTAATGCCGGACGACATCCTGGTGATGAACGTGACTGTGAAAACAAACGTCTCGGTGGGTCATATACAGGGTGTGACGATCAACCCGATTAGATCGATCCCGCCGGACGTCGAGGCCATTCTGAACATCACTCATCGGGAAAAGGGCGAGGATTACGATTATGATTACAGCGAGCCGACGTTGCCGCCGTCGTTACCCAATGTCAGGTAAGGTAAATACTACTGGCTCATCACGTTACTGAGAGAGAGAGATTTATTCAAGGGGAAATTTAGACAGGTTCTGGTTACTAGAAATTAGAAATTAGGAACGAGTGAGTTGTTGAGCGAAATTGAAAGATATTCGAATAGGTTAAATTGGAAATTAGGAATGACGAAGTTGGTAAAATTTGGGGAAAGTTCTAACAGATTGTAGAAATATGAATAGAATATTAAAATGGAGATGTTACCGATTTTGGGGAATTTTGGGGAGAATTCAGATAGATTGCTTAAATGAAAGAAATATTTCTTAAATTTCTAAATTATAATACTAAGTGCTTCTAAATTATCAGTCAGTTAGTGGAAAAGAGAAATTTAAAATATCTTGTGGATATTAATTCATTTATTATAAATTAATAATATTAATTTGAAAAGTAGGAGTATTCTACGTAATACGTCAGAATTAAATTATTATTATATAGAATATTTTACATTTTTATCGTTTCTGTACATTGCTGTTGTATTGTTGTATAGTTTGTCAAAGTATTGAAATAGTTCAAACAGTTAACTTGTACAAAATTAGACTCCGTCTTCAAGATTTCATTTCAAAATTTGAAACACGCTGGTCAACAATCTTATTTTTGAGGTCCAACGAACTACGTAACAAATATATATATACGAGGGGAAGGGAAATGAGAAAAGGGTTGATTTATGCGTTTCCATGCAGGATAATTCCGTTCGTGGCAGCGGACGCGTTAGTGAAAGACAAGACGGTCCCGTCGCCGGTCACCGGATATCCTTCCGGTTCGGTGGTGGTGCCTCCGGAACTGCGGCCCACCGACACCTCCGGATTTTACGACATCGCCACTCAGGAAAACAGATTCAGCCCGCCAGTGGAGACCGAAGGTGAGTCGTATTTTAAACTCGTACCACGGATACGTTCGATCACCCTCGTTCGCGTTTTATGTCTCTGCCCCGCAGGCCACGATTCTTCTCTTCAATTGACACTTTCGTGAAAGTTTTTTACGCTTCCACGTTTTTCTTTTTTCTTTTTTTTTTTTTTTTTTTTCTTTATCCTTAATAGGATTTTTAACAACTTCTTGTAATACGGTGAATAGGGAATCACAGAAGGTTTTGTTTTCTTAGTCTTATTTGAGTACCTTGTGGAATTTTTAATTTATCTTTCTTTCTTTTCTGGCGGTTTCTGATGGATTGATAGAATCGCAGTTTTTGTGATACATTCTTTCTTTTTATTATTGGGAAATAAATTGCAAAAGTGTTTCCGGTTTTTTGAAAGACACGACATTGGCATAACAAAATCTAATCCCCAGAATATTTTTCATTTTTATTGACATACATAGTCTACGTATAAAGCTATAAAATTTCGAATATTTAAAACAGAAGAGGAGGGATTTTGGATATTTTACAAATGAAAATTAAAAATTCCATCGTAATCAATGATAATACAAACGTATTTTGTACATTCGTGGTAATTATATAATAGATATCATTATTTTTTTCTAAATTTGTATAACTTCAACTACCAAATAAATCAGTGCCTGTGAAATGTTTAAAACAGTTATTCTTCTTTAAATATGTGAAATTTTCAGATGTGTGTGGACTTCTTTGATTAATTGCACATTTACATGATTTATTTGTAATTAATTTTCCATAGCATCTGTGAATATTTTTAATAGTTTCTTCCTTGAACTCGATTTATTTTGCACAAGGTGGATTCGTTCCAAGGGAACCGCCCTATTTCGACGCGTCTTACCATTCCACCGATCTGAATCTCGAAATCGGAACAGGCGTCACCGTGGTTCCGGCTCCAATCAGCAATCCTCATCGTAAAAGCGATGGTAACGAACACCTTTTTTTTTTCTATTCCTTCCTTCAAATCCAATATTTCCACATTATACCGTATTGTTATTCTATTATTGGCATTTCTCTGTGATGCCACGTGCAGGAAGAAAAGAAATTTCGTTATATCATGTGTAAATAATTCAATGCAATTCCATTAAAAGCTTGGTATTTGTCGATTATGTTTCAATAGTTTTATCGTAGTCGATGCTTCATAAAATATGTACGAATCTCCTTAAAATGATTAGATATATTTCAGTCTGAAAGTCAGTTCTAAAATTTCAACGATAAACAGATATGCTCGAAATCATCTAATTTTTATCAATTAATATATGTATATGTTGAGATTAAATTAGAAAGATTCATTTGAACTGTATTTTACATTGAAATAATTTCAGAATACACGGTGGTGTATATCAAAGTTAATTTTTTATGATAATTTGATTTGAAACTTACGCGAACATACTCAAACGTGTGCTGCATGAATTTTCATTAAAGAAATTTAGAATTGGAGTCTCTCGACATGTTTCCAGAAAAGTGGATTTGCAAAATGCACAGTTGCAGTGAACAATTTTCAATTTTCTATTCAAATACATAAGCTTCCAATCCACCTTTGATCGGTGATTTATTTTTACTTATTGCCTCCTTTCCGTTCTTCCGTCAGAACGAAGGAAATTGCAATTGCTGGCAATTGTTTTCGTTCGTTTCACAATTTTAAAGTAAAATTTCGAAGTATTCAGGCGGTCGAGAGGATGTAAAATTCGGCGGTTTCTACGCTTTTGTTTCATAAATCTTAGCCAGCAACTGTCTCTTCGAGAATATGGAGTACCGTCACGGGGAGATTCTGCCGAGCAGCAGTATCTGCGTGATTTGCATGTGCTACTACGGCGAGGTGGTCTGCTCCTCGGAAAAATGTCCGCCACTGAAAATCGGATGCAGAAGGATCAACACCAAGGAGACGTGTTGCGGGAAAATCGTCTGTGGTATGAGAAATTTTGCACGATTTTTTCTTTTTTTTTTTTAAATCCCTCTTTGATGAAAAGAACACAATTTTTCTCATATCTTTTAGTTAGTGTCTGGCAATTTTTTTGACGGTTTGAGATTCTGCGAAAGGAAGTTTATTTGAGTACGTTATTATTGATTTAACAAAGAAGACATGGGACTACTTTTTGTTTAATTTTCATTCTTTTTTCTGTTATCATTTCCTGGAATGTGAATAAATGTGACGTTGCACTAATAAATTTGAGCAAATTTTTCCCAAGTCAAGAAAAGAATTTTATAAATGTTTGATTTTCGGCCCGTTGATTTGTCAAACAATTTTGGAATAATTGTTATAAATTTCATTTGCTGCTTCGTTTTTACACAGGCAGAGTTTTAATAAATAAATGAAAGTCTAATATATGCATTCTCCCACAAACTAAATTTACAATTCAAACTAAACCCAGAGAATATATACAATATGAATATTTCTTTACGAAGATTTATCTACGAATATTCATTTTTTTCATTCATTAAAATTCTCTCGAATACAATTTAACCAATAACATAATAAAACTAACGAAATAAACTTTTATCACATCTTCCTCAGCCTACGTTCACTTGACTACTAAAAATTCCCTTAAATAATATAATTCACTAACCAATTATTTATTTCAAAAAATACAATTCCATCCCAACGAAAAACAATCACTTGAAAAACAAAAATTAAAATTCCCTCAAATATAATTTATCCAATAATGAATTTTAGTACTCTATTACTACATCTTCCTCATTTCACATTAATCATTCAACTGCATTAAAAACTTCCTCAAACAATATTCAATATTCCAATTCTAACGTCGCGAATACTTTCAGTGGAAGCGGAAGAATCACCAACGTTAGTGTTAGATCGTGCAGATGCAACAGCGCCGTCCCTTCATCAACCGATCGTCTCTCCAGACCCATTTCGCGACGTGATCAAGACAGAGCCAGCCCCTGATCTGCCTTCTCTGATCGAGGACATGATCCCTTACCTGGTAGAACACGGGATCACCACACCGAGGCCATCGACCACCAGCACTCTGAAACCTCTGCAAGCAAACTTCGATTTCGTAGATAAATTAGCTCTCCTTCGTCCGCCGTACAGGCCAGACGAGGACCCGACCAGGCTAATCTCCCAGAATAAATACAATCTGAATCAGGATGAACATCCGGAGGAAGCGATCTCCCCGAGTTACAGTTCCAAAGAAACTGAACGGACGTCAAATCACGTTTCTGAGACGATCCCGCAGAAAACTGGCTCGCCAATGACGGATTATACCACTAAGAAACAGGAGGATCAAACCGTTCCCTCTCTCCTCAACGCGACGAACCCTAATCCCATTAAATCGAACGCTTCGAACGTCAACGAGACGAATGCCTCATCGGAGTCGAAGCTCGAAGATTCGAAATTGAATAATTCAAAGTTGAACAATTCGAAGTATCATGCTGCTACGACTAAACCACCTCCCGCAGAGTTGGAGGATCCTATATTTAGCCTGGACAGTGTTCTAGATTTGTTGTTCTCTTCAGACATGAATAACAATCAGGATGATAAAGATACGAAGCCAACCGAAGCAACGACTACACGTAGATCGACTACGGATGTTAATCGCGAGTCAGAGGATGAGAGGATGTCCTCTATAGTGAGTGAGAAGCTGGAGGAACACGTGACGGAGGCTGGAACGTCTTCGAAGGTTCTGGAGAACGAGATACCCGTGTCGGTAGCTAGTTTGTTAAAATTGGCTGGATGTAACATCTATGGGAGGATGTATCGCGTTGGTAGGATCATCACCGAGCTCTCTGGACCTTGTCTGGAGTGCAGGTGCACGGAGATCGGTGTGCAGTGCAAGCAGCTTAAGTGTTGATCGAAGTTGGCTGTGCCAAGCTGGGCCAAGCTGTTTTCCTTGCAATTAGGTTCGTTCGAGTTAATAGATTCACTGCTGTGTCTGGACGCATCCCCCCC